CGAACTTCAGCTCTAGAGCTGAAGTTATTTAGTTCTCTTTTCTTTCTAGTGCTTGTGTGTTCCAGTTCTTTTCTTTCTTCTTCAACTTCTGCTTTTTTGTCTTTCGTTTTGTAATTTTAAACTCCAGTTATTTCTTGCTTGCTGAATTATTAATACTCTTGAATTCAAATTTTATTTTAAACAAGTTCCCTTCTAAACCTACCTGATAAAGATAAAGAACTATCAATATACAAGTGTATTCAGCATAAATTCTTATTATGAGTAGAACAACAACTTCAAAGGTGTTATATTACAGAATACAGATGTACATTTAAAGCAAACATAAATTGTTTTAATGTGTGCTGAGCACCAAAAATAAATACGTACTACATAAAAGGTAAAAGTTAAGAGGAGGAGAAAGGGGAAAGAGCAGGAGAAAGAGGACTGAAATTATTTAAAAAGTGGGTACAAGTTAAAAAAAATTTAAAAAATGGGTATAGGTTAAATGGGGGCGACCAAATAGGCGGCCCGTGCAATTTTTACACAACTCATGTGCCATGGCCCAGACCCCTGTTGGCATGCTTGTAAAAGTTGAGCAACTATTTGTCAAAATCCCAAACCACACTCTTCATACTTGAACCCCCGTATTATACATCAAGCACTGCCAATTCAAATTGTCGAGTTTAAACCTTTGGCCATAGAAGGACCACCACATGTAATTCGCACCCGAAGGGCTAGAATCAAGCACAACACATTTTGGTATTCATGATCATTTCATTGCTGCTGGAACATACGGGTCGGCAATTACCCTGATTGATTTATTTGGGTTCATTGGTTATCAACGAGAAATGGAATATTAGTGTTAATGTTAGGCCAGTAAAAGGCCATAGTTTATGAAAAGCCTACTTTAAAATTTCTGAATATTAGCTTATTTATAATTAATCGGCCGCAATAGCCTGATACAAAATTGATTGGCTTCCTTATGATATCACATTTTCCACCAACAGAGTTGCTTCAAGAGTAATATTTGATTAAAAGTCATTGGTAATTTGAGAAATGTTTAGGCAAATTCAAATGGGATAGGGCATGTTATACAAAAATACAGGACAAATTATTCCAGTGCTTATCATAATCACATATTTGAACTAGATATTCACGAACTATCTCCCCACCTTTCTCCACCTCAAAAGAAAAGTCTAAAACCTCCAAAAAAATCTAAAACAATTACCGGTGGCAAGCGCTCAAAGTCATAACTGGAGAGCAAATTATTACAACAATCACTCACAATCTTTATTAGGATATGCCGTGAAGGCGTGATCAGGATATACACGTCTCTGCAGCTGCTTCTGCTAGCCCGGTTTCGAATACATTTTTCTCTAGAGCAAGTTGAAAATGAATCAATTTTGTACTTGAACAAAAATGTGTTGCTTTCTCTGACACCAAAAATTCAAAATCCTTGGGAGAATGTCTATTTGATTATGACTTGGTGCCTGATGGGCTCGAATTTCTCACCAACTGCACCACCTTTATCCTTCTGGAACTGGATATATCGCAGGGTGCTTGCAAAGTAGGTATCTGCTGCAGGATCTGCTGTTGTATTTTCGCTTTGCATTTCAGTTGTGATTAGTTCAATCAGGCTCTGGATGGAGGCAACATTAATCTGCGAGACCCCCTTCTCAAAGAAATNGAACATTAATCTGTGAGACCCCTTTCTCAAAGAAATATAGATACCTGTTAACATACAAATGGTTCTGTTGTTAATGACTTCCAAAAGAACAGTATTTGAGAAGGAAAAAGAGCAAGAATGAAGAGTTGGTTTTACTTGTTTAGAATTTCTATAAAGAGCAAGACCGATCCACTGCTTCCTCGGGTTGCAGTGGACATTTGTTGAGCAGCATTTGCAATCCTTAAGGCCCGCTTTAAGCAAAGCAAAACCCTGGATTAAAAAAAAAAGTAACACATGAGAAGAAGGCAACACAAAAGCATGAAACCAAAAGGAACTCAAAAGAGCCTTAGTAAGTTTAAATTAAATTTATAATTTATCCCCTAAATATGCATGGGATAGCTATGAACCTTTCTCCATCCTTGATATTGTCCTGATCGTCAACCCAGAAAAGATGTGAACAAGCATATACAGCCCTACATTGATCAGGCTTCTTAAGGAGCTTTGCAGAGTACTTGAGGATACAAAGGGGACAGAGCAGTTAGAATCTATTTGTAATGATATTAAAATCAGCAAAAGCAAATAGGAGATGCTAAAACAATTACCCCCGTGGCCTTGTGCGTTAATGTATCCCTGTTCTCAACACCAAAGATGTGCATTCTCTGAAGAGTCCCTATTATCAAGTGTATTGCAGTCACCTGTGCTTTGGAGTCCTGCCAAACAATTGAATTAACATTAGAAAAATCAACTAAAGCTTCCACGCAAACATATAGCATGCCAGGAATTCCAGAATATAAAATTGAGACAAAAAAGCAGATACTACCGAGATTTCTTCTTCATATAGCATATAAGCTTGAGTGAAAAATTCATAGGCAACAGGCTCTAGGCCAGAGTCATTAGCAGCCTGAGCAACAGAGACAACTGCTTGTCAGTAAAAAACAGATGCGAGCTATCTTCCACAAGTTTGAACGGAAATCATGTACCTCAGCACACTCCAAGTACAACTTCAACGCTAGTTCCGGTACTGGAACAATTGAGAGAGCCTCAATAATCTAGAACAAGGTGTAGCTCATAAGTAACAGAATTACCTCAGGACATTCATAAGAATGGTAAAATTGTAAGAATGACTGCAAATGAAGGAAGACAAGCTAAAGAAAGAAGGAATAGAAGAACACAACTCATAAAACAAGATTTACACTAATAACATCCCCATTCTGTTATAATACCTGATTGAGAATCTGAAAAAATTTCTCAGGCATAGCAGATGCCTCATCCTCAGGAGCATTTTCATCATGACTATGCAGTTGCCTAACAAACTAGAAACAAAGGGAAAATACATCAGTGGTACAACAAAGTAGGTCAATCTATTTGTGAAGGAACTCTCCTCTCTTTCTTCTCTTTAATGGGGAACATGGGGTGGGGGTAGGGGGTAATATACTATTTTTTATGTTCTCTTCTTAGAACGAGTAGTTCCATAGGTGAAGGATCATGCTGACACGCTACATATTCACAAGTCTGCTTCATTTAGCTTAGCACAGAGGGAAAACAAGGAATATTGAGCACCAAACTCCTCTAATAGTCCTTAAGTTGCAGATTCAAACCTTAAGAGAGTTAAAAATAAGGGGAGGGATGGTACAAGGAAGCCTCTTTGGTCCTCCTGTCAAAATGTGTTTATGCACGGCACAAATCATCTGCAATACAATGAAATAGCAAATTGTAACTGTGAGAAGGCATGGGAGAAAATATGATATATTGATATTGTGTGTTCAATACAATACAAGAGGTCCTTATTTATAGTTATACTATACAAGGACATACTACTCCTATTCCAATGTCGGACAAGACTACATTATGTACATATCTAACACTCCCCCTCAAGCCGGTGCATACACGTCATATGTACCGAGCTTGTTACGCATGTAACTAATACGAGAACCAGTAAGAGACTTAGTGAAAATATCTGCTAGTTGATCATTCGACTTTACAAACTTTGTAACAATATCTCCTGAAAGTATTTTTTCTCTGACAAAGTGACAGTCGATCTCAATGTGTTTAGTCCTCTCATGGAACACCGGATTTGACGCAATATGAAGAGCAGCTTGGTTATCACACACTAGTTCCATC